TGTCATAATTAATATATAACTTACATTGAACTGATATCATCATCGTCATCACTATCGAGATCAAATTCTGAATCTAAATCATCATTGTCATTCTCAAAAAGTTGTACGTTATCATGTAATTTTGATTTTAATCTTAGATGATTGTGCAAATATTCACTCAACGCATTCATATCAAACAGTTTGTGCTTCTTCAATAACTAAAATATTCATAAAAAATTACAATCAATACAATTCTTCATTCTTTTCTTCTTTAAACTACGCGAATCAATCTTTTATTCGGATTTACGAAAGAATCACGCAGCATATCGAAGAACTCATATGTAAATGATAGACAACTTATGGATGAAATGTTGAGATTTTCTGTAATACTAACAGCTGATTGATAAGCTTGTATGACCACGTTTTCCACATTCAACATGCTAATATCAATCAAATTTTGATTATTTCTTGCTGTATTAAGTGAGATATGTTTATGATGAACGGAAAACTTTAGTAAGGATGTTGATTTGTCCTGAGATTTAAATCCATTTAGAATTGAAAGCTTTCTTGACCGTCGTAAAAAATCTTCTACAGTGTAATTTATGACTGTAGAGAAAATTCCACTAAGTGAACGTGTATTGCGAAAAGTTGATTCGCATGTTTGCGATGAAAACAAATGGATGTTCAATACTTCCACTGGTAATTGTTTTTGTTGAACAAGAATAATAAGATAAGTGNTTTTTTCTTGGATATTTTTACATGGTTCAATAGAGTTCGTCGAGCTCTACAAAACTGCATATTTGAAAAAAAAACTTTGAGCCATCTTCTTGTGATAAAAAATCCAAAAACCCACTTTGAAAAGCTCAAAAAATATCAAAAAATTCATTTTTCTTCATAAAAAAAAAACACATGATTTTCCAATAACATTAGTTTTTTTCATTACTTATGCTACCTCAAACATTTCGAAACGTATTCCTTCGATGCAGTTTTTTACGCAGTATCGAATGAGCATATTTCAAATTGTCTGAGCTAACATAAACTGTGAAAAACCTAATGTTATTGGAAAATCATGTGTTTTTTTTTTATGAAGAAAAATGAATTTTTTGATATTTTTTGAGCTTTTCAAAGTGTGTTTTTGGATTTTTTATCACAAGAAGATGGCTCAAAGTTTTTTTTTCAAATATGCAGTTTTGTAGAGCTCGACGAACTCTATTGAACCATGTAAAAATATCCAAGAAAAAAGTTTTACTCCATTTTTTAATTAATGGCATCTCGATTTTTTCTACGTCAAAAACAGTATAAAATTTCTAAAAATGCCTTGAGTGTGACATTAAAAGATCTACATAACCTTTACTATTTAGTACCAATAGATCCAGTTTTTGAGGTGCTTTAATTTAGTATAAAATACATTTGTGATATCATTGATAGTTTAAATTGTAGAGGGGGGATTAAAGGTTATGTTACACCGTGTATATATAGTATGATTGAAAAAAGTCTAGATCAATGATATGTTTTTCTAACAAGTAAATGTCGTCACTATGATTTTGGTGTTTACTAGTGAAGCTACTTAGATACTAGATCGAAATTCTGAGGGTAAGCAAAAATGGTATAAATTAATGGTTAGTTTGAATAGTATGTATGTAAGAAAGTCATATGAAAGTGGGTATTTAATAGTGAATAACTCATATGTTATTGGTGATTCGCTTGATCGAAGAAGAACGAATAGATTTACTTCCGTCGTTCCTCTTTAAAGGTCAATGCTTTTTTATTACGAATGTGTGCTGAGTTTTTTCATAGTCAGTTCAATTTTTGAAACGATTTCTAGCTCCAATATATTGTAGTGTGCCAATCACTCAGTAAAAGTATTATATATTAACGGTCTGCCTTTTATAATGCCATTAGTCAGCACTTTTTATCAATTGAATAGCTTCAAGAAGTTGTACCTATACTCTTGTCGGAGTTTGTACATAAAATATTGTCCATATTATTTATTACTTACTATTTTACGACAAAAAGTTGTGAGAAAGATTTGCTTTCTCTCTTCGACAATATACTATTAGAAAATGAATAAAAACCAGTAAATGTAGACTGGGAAGAATGCATCAAAAAAATAAGTTGTCCTGCTTCAGTTAATAAATGCATTTTTGTCAACAATATATTACAATAGAGCTATTGTGAAGCTGTCCTAGTGGTGAAAAATAGTCATTACAACTATTGTTCAGATTAAAAAATACTTTTCTGCAATTTTTTTTATAAACCGTTTTTTAATACTAAGTTTGTTTTTCGTTCGAATAAATTATAAATATTGATTAATTTTTATCCTTGAAAAAGATACGAGCAAAGTGTTGAAAGTTTTTCACACAGAATATTTCTAACAAGTAAATGCGAATACATTTGGACTAATATCGGATACGGATATACCATCATATTAACTAAGGGAGCATACAGATGAACTGCTTTATCAAATTACAATCTAGGTATAGCAAAAAGTTTTATTTGCATACTATAAACTCGTTCACGGTAAGAATATTAATAAATGTGACCGCGATAGAAAAATGTAGATGCAATACATTATCTTCCTACTTTCGCACAGTGGACAACTTTTCCATAGCAGGCGGACATAAAAAATTTTAGGATTTTTTGGATGAATTCATTGGGGAAATGTTTTCAAAAAAAAGTGAATAGCAGATTTTGTAGTGCATGAAAAGACCTTCCAGATGGGCTATTAATCGGAACTTTCAGTCGCTATAGTTCTTATGAAATTAAAATAAAAACAAAAAAAATTATGTCCACCTGGTTGCCCACTGTGTTTCTTTGACGTAATAAACTTATTGCTCGATCATAATTGATTAAATCAAATGAAGTTTTTCTCCAACACCTGTTCGTAATTTATAACATAGTATGAGTAGCAAAATTAATTTTCCAGAAAAGACACTCCCTTTATTTTTTAATGCATGTACAAAAAAAAGTAAATTTTAAAAAAGAAAAAAATCCTTCGTACAAGTTTTTAAAGTCAACAATGATGGGGCAGAAAATTACATTCTACCAAGGGGGGGACAGCTGATTATTTGATTAGATATGATTTTAAGTGATTAGCAGTGATTATTATTGATTAGCAGTGATTATTATTGATTAGCAGTGATTATTATTGATTAGCAGTGATTATTATTGATTAGGAATGATTAGCAGTGGTTATTATTGATTAGGAGTGATTAGAGTTGATTAGGAAAATGAATAAAGGTTATATATTATTTCATATCCCTCTGCTTCGTTACTTGCGTTGTATACGGAAAACGAAACTTTTTAAAGCCATTTAATAAGCTATGTTGCCATTAGATATCATTCCCTATCTTAAAGTGTCCGAAGCTTTTGTCTTAACTCTTTTGTATTGTTTTTCAATTTATGGATTTTAAGAAGTACCACGAACTATCAACAAGTACAGATATTTCTAATTTCAAGAAAAAGTTTATGCAAAGAAAAGGAAACAATTCATCATTTTTTTGATGTTTGAATAACTCGTGATAATCTATCAGTAGATAATCTATTATTGTCTCTTGTAAGAAGATAACAAGCCGTGGACTTGTGTAAGAACTTATCCATATCATTGATTTTAATCTTGAAATATGATTTCTCTCGATCAGCTGGTACATTGTCTTTGATATTTAATCCATCAAAACTTGTTTTAAATGATTTCAATTGTTCGTCGTTCATATTGTCATCATCTTCATCTTCTGCTTCGCTACTACTTGATTCGTTGTGTCTAAAAAATTCATGAGAAAATGAGTAATACGATGTATGATCATCGAATTCGAACTAATCTTTCGTAATTTCCTTCGCATTTTGCTACATGTGATAATGAGGATAATTTTACGAAAAGATGCATAAAAAAACACAGAAACTTTATCTAATGTCATAATTAATATGTAACTTACACTGAACTGATATCATCATCGTCATCACTATCGAGATCAAATTCTGAATCTGAATCATCATTGTCCTTCTCAAAAGGTTGTACGTTATCTTGTAATTTTGATTTTAATCTTAGATGATTGTGCACATATTCACTCAACGTATTCATATCAAACAGTTTGTGCTTCTTCAATAACTGAAATATTCATAAAAAATTACAATCAATACAATTCTTCATTATTTTCTTCTTTAAACTACGCGAATCAATCTTCTATTCGAATTTGCGAAGGAATCGCGCAGCATATCGAAGAACTCTTATGTGAATGATAGACAACTTACGGATGAAATGTTGAGATTTTCTGTAATACTAACAGCTGACTGATAAGCTTGTATGACCACGTTTTCCACATTCAACATGCTAATATCAATCAAATTTTGATTGTTTCTTGTTGTATTAAGTGAGATATGTTTATGATGAACGGGAAACTTTAGTAAGGATGTTGATTTGTCCTGTGATTTAAATCCATTTAGAATTGAAAGCTTTCTTGACCGTCGTAAAAAATCTTCTACAGTGTAATTTATGACTGTAGAGAAAATTCCACTAAGTGAACGTGTATTACGAAAAGTAGATTCGCATGTTTGCGATGAAAACAAATGAATATTCAATACTTCCAAAGGTAATTGTTTTTGTTGAACAAGAATAATAAGATAAGTGAGATAATGAGCATTTAGCTCCGTGGAAAAAAATGCAGCACGAGTAACAAAATATTTCTCACGACAAATTTTTCTGGATTTTGTGCTGGATGAAGATAAAGATGATAATCGTACAAGCAATAACCACACCCACCATAAACGTAAAAGAAAAACAGCAGTCCAAGCACCTTTCAAACCTACACAACAAGAAAAAATATGTAGATCAACGCTCTCCGTATGCATGGTATTTCTAAAAGAGTTAGCTGTATCACTGATACTAATATACAGAAAATTATCAGAACTATAATGTTGTTTTCAGTAAAAAGCTAAAATTGAATTGATATTTAGTTAAGACTGAAATTTGCAACAAAAAGATTACTTTTATTTACAACAACTGAGTTAGTTAATTAAAGAGCATCTCAAAGAGAACCTGAATAATTAAGCTGAAACATACGTTCGGCAATTGAAGTTGTTGGTTCGATATACGAAGTTATAATCAATTTTATCAATTTTAAATACATGTAAGTTCCATTAGAATTATCGTCACGAGCTATTAAATTTAACACATCATAAGATGTAATTCTCAAACAAGAACGAAAATTTTGACGATCTGTTGGTTTTAGATCACTTTGTGTCAATCCATGATCTAGCCGAATCAATTCTTCGTTATCAAGTAATTGTTGTAAATGCTTCATTGTTATACATTTATCACCAACTTGTAAAGCTGCTGTTGCAGATAATAAACGGTTTCTTAACTTTGTGACCAGGTGAGTTGCATCTTGCATAAACACAAAAAGCTGCTCAGGTCTTAAAAAATACCAAGGCCAATTACCAGTTTGAATTGAAAACATACAAGAATCAACATGTACATCAAAATTCGATAAGCTTGCATAGAATCCAGACATCAAACGCATAGCACGAAAATATTTATTATCAGCATCTAAAATATCAGGAAGAAAAGAAAAATTTTTAAGTATGCATCTTATTTTCTATTTCATCAGCTTAATATTGTAATAAGAAAGTCTTTTATAANGCATTTTTTTCCGTGGGTGTGGGGTGGGGGTCCAAATTTCTACCCCTAAACACTTCAACACTCCTTTCAGATCGTGTTTCACAAAATAGCAGTCCAAGCACGTTTCAAACCTACACAACAAGGAAAAACATGCAGATCAACGCTCTCCGTATGCATGGTATTTCTAAAAGAGTTAGCAGTACCACTGATATTAATATACAGGAAATTATCAGAACTATAATGTTGTTTTCAGTAAAAAACTAAAATTGAATTGATATTTAGTTAAGACTGAAATTTGCAGCAAAAAGATTACTTTTATTTACAACAACTGAGCTAGTTCAATTAAAGAGCATCTCAAAGAGAACCTGAATAATGAAGCTGAAAAATACGTTCTTCAATTGAAGTTGTTGGTTCGATATACGAAGTTATGATCAATTTTATCAATTTTAAATACATGTAAGTTCCATTAGAATTATCGTCACGAGCTATTAAATTTAACACATCACAAGATGTAATTCTCAAACAAGAACGAAAATTTTGACGATCTGTTGGTTTTAGATCACTTTGTGTCAATTCATGATCTAGCCGAATCAATTCTTCGTTATCAAGTAATTGTTGTAAATGTTTCATTGTTATACATTTATCACCAACTTGTAAAGCTGCTGTTGCAGATAATAAACGGTTTCTTAACTTTGTAACCAGATGAGTTACATCTAGCATAAACACGAAAAGCTACTCAGGTCTTAAAAAATACCAAGACCAATTACCAGTTTGAATTGAAAACATACAAGAATCAACATGTACATCAAAATTCGATAAGCTTGCATAGAATCCAGACATCAAACGCATAGCACGAAAATATTTATTATCAGCATCTAAAGTATCACGAAGAAAAGAAAAAATTTAAAGTATGTATCTTGATTTCCATTTCATCAACATAATATTGTAATAAGAAAGTCTTTTATAATGAATGATATCTTTTTATTCGATTATTTTTTGTAAAGATAAAATGCTGAATGCCCAACGGAGCTTTTGATTCTATGTAATTTTGAAAACAACCTGGTCTTTTTATTATTTTTAGTGTTTTGAAGCGGAAATTAAACGAACTATTTAATGGTGATTTCAAATAGCTATGAATGAAATTTTCAATCTCTGAAAATGACTTGAATTTACCGGTGGAAAATCCGAGGATTCGCACATTTTGTTCAATAGAATTCTTGTGAATGAATAGCCATCGCCTAAGAATATCTAATGATGTATATTTACTGCTGGTGCCATAGCCAGCGAGAACAAAACTTGGTGGTGCTACTGTTTGATTTGGTGGTGGAATAGCTTGAACACAATGAATGTTCAATAGTGGAGTCTTTTCATTTTTATCCATCCACAACTTTAATTCAGATATTGAATCTGTTTTAAAATGACATGGTGATGGTACACCACCCGATAGAGGAGTTGAAAAACCTATAAAACTATTTGTATGCATGTCGTATTTGATCCGCCGCACCACACCTGTGCCTAGAATGTTATAAAAGATCAATTAATAAATCCTCAAGGGAGAAACGACAGACTCCAGAACTCCAGGAATTCCAGAGACTTCATGGGACTCCACTGTATTCGCGGAGTTCCTTGGAGTCCTATGGAATCGAATGGAATCCAATGGAGCTCCTTAGAATCCAGGAGTTCCGAAGTCTGTTATTTCCCCGTTGTAAATCCCATTTCTTATTTGTTTGTCTTAAACAGTTTTAATTCACTATTGCTGCTATTATCAAGAGAATAGAGATGCGTAAAGCAAACCTCCTCTATCATTTAGTAAAGACATAGTTCGAATTTCAACAATCAAACAAAGCCGATCTTCTCATATTTTCTCAATGAAAAGCACTTTTGTTTCAAGTGGACTGAAGAAACTTTCAAAGTTTTAGAAACTATATGATTGTAATTTGTTTTATGTTCTATGACATGATTTATTTATTGATCATGGAACAAACAGGAATGATTCTATTTCAGATTTACTCTTAAATTTTATTCTTTGTAGGAACAAAATGTTTCAGAAAAAATCGTTTACAAGAAGACAATCAAAACCTAATTGATATTATTCATGAAAAACTTACAATCTTCTGCACAATATGTATGTTGAACACCGAAACTATTGAGATACTTTGCCATTTTATTGAATCGAAATTTACCTTCTGTTAAATTATCATCATTATTTTGTATTAAACTATGAATTGTTGTGGGTGTGGGGGTGGGTGTGGGCGTGGGTGTGGGTGTGGGTGTGGGTGGGGGTGTGGGTGTGGGTGTGGGTGTGGGTGTGGGTGGGTGTGGGGTGTGGGGTGTGGGTGTGGGTGTAGGTGTGGGTGTGGGGTGTGGTTGTAAATAGTAGATAAAAGACCCACACACTCACACCCACACCCGCACTCACAAACCCACACCCGCACCCACACATCCACACCCGCACCCACACACCCATACCCGCACCCGCACACCCACACCCGCACCCACACACCCACACCCGCACCCACACACCCACACCCGCACCCACACACCCACACCCACACACCCACACCCGCACCCACACACCCACACCCGCACCCACACACCCACACCCACACCCGCACCCACACCCACACCCTGATGTTACATCAGACAATGCTGATGACACTGTAAAATCTTCAGACTATTAAAAGATTTTTCTTAGAGAAGCATTTTTGTATTAATTCGTTTTCTATTATTGACCGAAAATATACATATAGAGTCAAACAGACTCAAAGAATGTTTTCAATGAGTGTCGATGTTGATGTAGGTGCCTGTGCGGGTGCAGATGGAGTAGAGTTGGTGTGAATACGCAATGTAATTGTGGGTGTAGCTATGGATGACGATGGAGGTATGCGTATGAATGTGAGTGAGGATGTAAAAAAGATCCAAATGGCAACATTAACACCCACACTCGAAACCACACACTCCAGACGCACACCCACACCCACCCGCACCCATACCACACCCACACCCACACCCACACCCTTAAGAACCGAAATAAAAACAACACGTAACAATAAAATACGTCACTATATCACAGTAAGTGGGAAAAAATTCGACGACAGTTTTATCGTTCGATTTTTTCCTATTTAGAGTGATATAGTAACATATTTTATTTTTATATGCTTCTATATCACAGGAAGTAGGAAAAAAATCAAACAATAAAATATTCTGCCGTTGGTTTTTTCTCACTGACAATAATTATATGACTTGTTTTTTTTTTTTTTTTTATTAACTAACTGATACTATATAAAAAGATATCGATAAAAAATATATGCATTTGAGAATACGATTGCTTTCTTATATTACTACAAAATTAAGACAATAAGAAGGTAGGAGTTTTAAAAATTCGATAAACAGTTTGAGTAATACAATAGAACATTTGTTCTCTTTTAATATATTGAAAAATTAATTTTTTAGATTTTTGCCTCGTCATCCAGTAGATTTTTTATATGAAATGTTCAAAGCTAAGAGATGTGTCAGAAGACTATTTTAATACAGGTGTTTGTGAATGGGCTTCTGGTAATCATAGTTGGGCATTTAGAAAAGACACTTTGACAGACAAGACTTTTCTAGTAAAGAAAATATAGAAAAGATTCAGAAATGGTTTATTGAATCTACTGAGAAAATATCAGTTTCAGATAATACAGAAGATAGTTTTTTTGAAAATAAAACCAATGAAAAATTAAAAAGCCAATTTTCATAAATCATCGATTAATATTTAAATATTTTAGAACCTGTAGAAGTAAAAATCATGTCGAAGATTTATCAAAAACTTTCGTTTTGTATTCATGCAATTGAAAATGAAAGAAATAATCTTGGCGAAAAACAACGATGAAATTTAGAAGTTCATTCTATGGTAGATATTATATGTGAAATTCTTAAACGAGTTCGTAAAATCTATGCGCTTTTCGAGAAAAGATAGGTAAACATTTTGAAATTTTCGTAGATAAGTGGCAGCATCCAATAGTTTTGAGCCTGTTAGAGAAAAGTATTGCAATTACTCAAGACGATTATATCGAATGTACAAAACCAATTAAAGTCTATTTTTAGAAAATCTTGCATGATTTCCGATCAATTGTTACATTTATCTTTTTATGAAAAGCTCGTACAGTTATTGAAGAATTTTCTAGAAACTGACACGACTTTCTAATGCAAACGAATTAATTTTACAATATGAACATCTTAAATAAACATTAGAATATAGAAAATACGAAAATATTGTAGTTATCAATACAATGGCTAAAAATGTTTAATGGTCATTATACTTTTTATTGAAAGATGTGCCAAAGTAGAAAATTCTTTGAAAGAATTTCATGAAATATTCAAATACTTTTTACCATAATTCTATGAACGACATGGGATAGAAGACATTAATAAGGAATTAAAAGAAAATATTTATAATCAAATTTGTCATAAAAAAAATTTTGATGGTATACGTAAATGTATCGAAATTTTATGTAAGAAAACTCAATTTCACGAATCGATTAAAATAAAATATAATTAACAAGATGCTAAACAAAAGTTTCATGCCATATTTAGTTCATTCGATCATTTTATTAAAAATAGCGATGAACGAGCTGTACATTACATAGGAGCACATAGTAGACAAACTACGATGAATCTTGTTGATGATTCTTTCAAGTCTTGCGTCTTTTTGACATAAACCCGTAATTTCTATTAAAACAGTTTAAAAAATGTTTGCATGAATTTCTACTCAATTTCATGCAAAAAACTATTAAAAATAAAACAACTGATGATACGTTACCAACTCAAGCTCTGTCTTATTTAGGATCGAAGAATTTTGATTAAGAGAAGGTTTTTGAATATGAAAAAAATAATGAATTTTTGACTAGTAAAACTAGTACAATACCATTAGAAATAATTAGTTCTCTGCAGATACAACTCGACAACACTACACATAGTCATTTTACATATTTACAAACTAAAATTTAGAATTTGGTTAAAACAGTGTGGGTAGCTTTTTCTCCCGACACAACCACACCCAAACACATCCACATCTCACACCCACACACCACATTCACGTCCGACACCCACACCCACACCCTCTCTAGTCGTGTTTACTCCTGTTTACATTCGTTTTTAGCTACAATGGCATCTGGAATAACTGTTGAGTTTCATAATGGTCTCAACTTCCCGATTGAATTAGTTGTGACACAAAACAATGTCGCACCTCAACAGGCAGCTACAATTCAAACAGGGTAAGAGTTAGGGGAAGCTATGCATCATGCCTATTCTGCTTGTTTTTTAATTTGGTAGCCACCATTTTTCCTATGATCTTCCACAAGGATTTGCTGGAAATTTCAAACATAGCTGGGCTGGTAAAGGCATAACACTATTTGAAATATCAGTTCGAACACATGATGCCAACACTTACTATGATTTGAGTGTCATCGATGGTTTCAATGTGCCCATCAAAGTTTATGCTCCAGATGGGTAGGTCAACTACAGATACAAGTTTTTTATCTCAACGATTCGATGATTTGATTTATTTTTTTTTAGAACACAGATTCAAGCATTGCATTCAGGAGCACCCGACGCTTATCTGTATCCGACAGACGATAGTAAAACGCATGGTTTAACAATAAATGGAAAATTCGTGGTTGTGTTCGAATGGTAAAACAATTATCCGTTCGATGACGTATACCCTGCCGGATCATTATTATTATTGAAACTTTTTCCTTTTCTTTTTTCATGTTGGCTTTATCCTTTTGCGTTGTGAAAGTTAGTTATTTCATTGTATTCGTACGGTGCAGTATAGTGAGATTATTCGAGAGTATTGAAATAAAATCCCAGCCAGCCGAGCTGTTAGGATTGGAAAAAATATTCCGTTTCGTTTGATGTTGATCAACAAATAAAGGTGTGGGTGTGTGTGTCAATGGCGTGGCTATGTGTAACGATAACTTTTTTCTTCCGCACAACCATACGCATACCAAATAGTAATCATCAATCATTTGAGAAAGGGGGTTAGGGTAAGGTAGGCCAAATAATTGTTTGCTTACATGTTCACATCCACTCACGCTGATCCTATAGGAATAACTCTTGAAAAACGATGTCTTTGAGTAGGGCTCTAGCGAATAACATTTTGATAGTAAACAAATCGAAATCGTATTGCATTATTCAGTCTAATCGCTTCACTCAGTGTGGTCATTCGAGCAATATCAAATGTCGACCTTCGATGTAAAAATTCGTTAAAAAGCTTGCATTAGTCCGTTCAAGAAATCATTTTCAACCGTTGCAAAAGGAATGTACAATAAAGCACAGCATTTAAACGGCAATAAGTGGCTTCATTTTCTTCTCAGCAAGGTTCACTACTTATAAATTTGGTTTCCACAATAGAGTAGAGATATTCCACATTTTCTCATCTCTGTTTTATGGTTTCTGAAGGATGTGAAGTTGTATGACCCCAAATTTCTATTCTAATAATCGTTTCAACGAAAGTTCTTTAACAACATTTCACAACAGACCATGCATTAATGATACTTATTAGTCTCAATCAACTTTGTAATATCTGACCAAAATAGAGAGAGATAAGAGAAATTTTTTACTTCTCTTTCGATCCATCTAATTCGAATCAAGAGCGAATGGATGCATGAATTTGGGTGCTGAGTGTAGGTGAGAGCCTTCTATTTACTCACACATCAAAAACGCACACCCACATTCAACCGATCAATATCTTTATCATCTGATGTGTCATCATTTTCCACACTAAATGATCTCATTGCGGCGTTAACAGTAAATGGAGCACTGCATGGATAAAACTTTTTGTACTGATACTCTACCCACGGGCTGCAATACTCTAGTTATGATCTGATATGAGCATATAAGAATCTATAACTGATCTTACTATCTGATTGGTTGACTTGGGTTGTACCGTTTAAAATACTTGTTAGTTTTTGTACTTCAAATTTACTTCATATTTTTATATCTTTATCATTATCTTGTGATAAATAAAGTATACGTACAAAACGTTCAAATTATAAATGATGTCTAATACGACAGACAAATGTTGGCAATGATTCTAGAGGTTCGTTGAGTAAACTTTGTAATTGTATATCAGCTCTTTGAAGATGTATTATTGTTCATTGCGTTAAAGTTTAAAGATGCAAAAAAAGAATTTATGAAATAAGATGCATAATATATATAATGAATATTTGTTAAAAAACCCAGTAGCATATTCAGATGGTGTTTACGAGCTAGTCGAAAAAACTGAAGTTCATTGATGAACAATTTGGTGTCTTAAAGGAAGTCGTTGTTGTTGAATTGATGTTGTCATAATAAGTTCTGGTTCACTGAAAAAAAAAGCGCAGAATAGTCAACCCTTGCTCTTAATTTTCTCTTTTATAAACTCTTGAAGGGTTTATGATGGTGGCAAATACCCTTGAAGGGTTCATGATCTGAAGGGTTTTTGAGCATAAGGGTATATAAATACTCAAAGGGTATATTGAGCTCTCTTAAGGGTTTTTCATTTCATATTTTGAGTCGAGGAGTTTATTATTAAACGATTGAGGGTAAATTAATATATCCATTTTTCAGAACAGTTTCTTTTGCAACAATCAAGGGTAGATTATTATTCGGTTGAAAAAGCGTTTCTTAGTATACGGCTAAGGGTAGATGATTCTACGCTTTCGTAAGAAGAGTTTATTATGATACCTCAAAGGGTAGATTACTCTACGGTGTCGCTATAGACTGTATTACCGGAAGACCGAGGGTAGATTAACATGCGCTTTTGGAAGAAGAGTTTATTATAATACGGTAGAAAGTAGATTATTATACGATATTGTCCAAAAGGGTAGATTATTCTACGAATAAGGGTTGATTGTTGTATGGCTTCAGAAAAAAGATTTGTTATAATACGGAGAAGGGTAGATTGTTATACGATATTATAAAACAAGGTAGATTATTCTACGGATAAGGGTTGATTGTTGTATGATTTTAGAAAAAAGGTTTATAATAATACGGTGGAGGATAGATTATTACACAATATTATCCAACAGGGTAGATTATTCTACGGATAAGGGTTGATTGTTGTATGGTTTTAGAAAAAGGTTTATTATAATACGGTAGATGGTAGATTATTATACGATACTGTCTAAAAGGGTAGATTATTCTACGGATAAGGGTTGATTGCTGTATGGTTTCAAAAAAAAGGTTTATTATAATACAGTAGAGGGTAGATTATTACACAATATTATCCAAAATGGTAGATTATTCTACGGATAAGTGTTTATTGTACTACGTTTTCAGAAAAATAGTTTACTATAATGTGCTTAAGATAGATTATTATGTGAAATCATCAATAGCGTATATAATTTTGCAGCGATGCTCAGTCTGATATAAACTATAGTAATCAATTGTAAAACAGGAGCCCTTTTTGTTTCAGAAAACTTCGTCGAGTCTTGAAGGATTTATACAAATTGAATGAGTTGTGAGGGGATTTACGAGCGAACAAGATCTATTGCTGTAGTAGTGTATTAGAATGAGAAAGTTGCATAATCTCCATTTCATGGTTGCTGTATTTTATTTGATTATCAAAACTGTTTTTTATTACATCCATCAAGGCAGTTCAGTTAATAAATAAATAACAAAAATTTTTACTTCAAAATCCAGAGAACATTAAAATGCGATGCAACTTATTGTAAACATTATTCACCATCAACTGGCATAATTATATATTTAAATCATCTGATGTATTTACAATTTAAAGAGTATTTGTATATAATAGTTTAAAAAAATAAAAATAAAAATAATAGAAGATATTATAAAATACATTGTGCTACAATCAATTCAAAAGGGTTTATTGTTCTATAACTACATCTTTATAATACTATTTTTAATTGTGATGAATTAATTGTTCCACGTTCAAAACTTCATCGTTTGTACTTATGAATAGAATATTGTTCATTTCTAGAGTTTAATCGAAAACACATACTACTATTTCTGTGAGGATAAATTACTGTATAATGAGTAAGAAACTTACAATAATCATCACGTTCAGAGTTTTACAGAGAGCATTCATATAAACAACACGTATTGCATAAATATACCAGGTTTCTCTGAAAAATATTCTTTATTCATTAAGCAGTGCTTGGTATGTTGACATGATATTCAATTCTCGATACAAGTTATCTGAAATAGCACACATTTAGTATAACACTTCCTAACGAATTCAGTGATTCGGTAATTCTACAATTGGTGTGCCATCGCAAATAAATGAAATAATAGCGATTTATAAAATATCACTCATTAATCCTTTCAAAGTAGAAAGAAAGCTATCACAATGATGGGGATCTATCAGTCATTACGATATTAGACTATTTTAGAAAAACTCCTAGGTAAAATGCAGTCTAACAATTAGTGGCGTGATACATAAAAATTACGAGGATCATTATTCGTGTAAATCGATCAGTAATTATTTCAAGAAACAAATTAATGAAAGTTCAGATTCAACACGNCTGCTGTTGCAGATAATAAACGGTTTCTTAACTTTGTGACCAGGTGAGTTGCATCTTGCATAAACACAAAAAGCTGCTCAGGTCTTAAAAAATACCAAGGCCAATTACCAGTTTGAATTGAAAACATACAAGAATCAACATGTACATCAAAATTCGATAAGCTTGCATAGAATCCAGACATCAAACGCATAGCACGAAAATATTTATTATCAGCATCTAAAATATCAGGAAGAAAAGAAAAATTTTTAAGTATGCATCTTATTTTCTATTTCATCAGCTTAATATTGTAATAAGAAAGTCTTTTATAATGAACGATATCTTTTTATACAATTATTTTTTGCAAAGATAAAATGCTGAATACCCATCGGAACTATTGATTCTATGTAATTTTGAAAACAAACCAGTCTTTTTATTATTTTTTTAGTCTTTTGAAAGGGAAATTAAACGAACTATTTAATGGTGATTTCAAATAGCTATGAATGAAATTTTCAATCTCTGAAAATGACTTGAATTTACCGGTAGAAAATCCGAGGATTCGCACATTTTGTTCAATAGAATTCTTGTGAATGAATAGCCATCGCTTAAGAATATCTAATGATGTATATTTACTGCTGGTGCCATAGCCAGCGAGAACAAAACTTGGTGGTGCTACTGTTTGATTTAGTGGTGGAATGGCTTGAACACAATGAATGTTCAATAGTGGAGCTTTTTCATTTTTATCCATCCATAACTTTAATTCAGATATTGAATCTGTTTTAAAATGACATGATGATGGTACACCACCAGATAGAGGAGTTGAAAAACCTATAAAACTATTTGTATGCGTGTCGTATTTGATTCGTTGCACCACACCTGTGCCTAGAATATTATAAAAGATCAATTAATAAATCCTCAACGGAAAAACAACAGACTTCAGAACTCGAGGAATTCCAGGGGCTTCATGGGACTCTACTGTATTCTCGGAGTTCCTTGGAGTCATATAGATTCGAATAGAATCCAATGGAGCTCCTTAGAATCCAGGAGTTTCAGGGTCTGCTGCTCCCCGTTGTAAATCCCATTTCTTATTTGTTTGTCTTAAACAGTTTTACTTCACTGTTGCTGCTATTATCAAGAGAATAGACATGAGTAAAGCAAACCATCTCTATCATTTAATAAAGACATAGTTCGAATTTCAACAATCAAACAAAGCTGATTTTCTCATATTTTCTCAATGAAAAGCACTTTTGTTTTAAGTAGACTGAAGGAGCTTTCAAAGGATTAGAAAGTATATGATTGTAATTTGTTTTATGTTCCATGACATGATTTATTTATTGATTATTGAACAAACAGGAATGAATGTATTTTAGATTTTCTCTTAAATTTTATTCTTTGTAGAAAGAAAATATTTTAGAAAATATCGTTTACAAGAAGACAATCAAAACTTAATTGATATTATTCATGAAAAACTTACAATCTTCTGCACAATATGCATATTGAACACCAAAAATATCGAGATACTGTTCCATTTTAGTGAATCGAAATTCACCTTCTGTTAAATTATCATCATTATTTTGTATTAAACTATGAATTGTTGTAAGATTTGGCAATGATCCTGGCAAATTTAACCGGACAAATTCATAAGTTGTCTTTCCTCCAAGTATGTACAAGCAAACGGCAAAACTTTTCAATTTGTCATCATATCTATATCGACTCGTATTAGATAAAGATAAATTTTTCGTTATAGTATTTATAAATAGTGATAAAAATTCATGTTGATCATTTGTTGTACTCTCATTCTCATAGAAATTGAGAAGTGAAAGAAGAATTGGATGTTTCCGAAGTAGAATATCAATCTTTTCAAATGTAAGAGACGATGATTTTGTATATTTCTGATCTGATTTTGATTTCAATAATTTTGATAAATATTCGTATTGCAATTTTAAACCAAGTTTGACTTGAAATGTACCATCATTTGAATCGAAACCTATTTTTGATTTCAAATCTCGTAATATTGTAGAATCATGCTGGAATATTTCAAAAATATCACTTGTTTGTAAAAATATAAAAACAGAATCAATATCCTGTATTTTAAGTACTTCTGTCAATAATGCACCACTCATACTTTTTGTAAATCGATAGAAATCATATCCTTCTAATTCCAAAACATTTTCTGGTAAACAAGAATTATCATCGATATTGACATCTGCAGCCATAATTCAATAACTAATTTTTCAGTGCGTGTAGCAAAATCTAGAACGAAAAAATAAATTCTGGATTTATAAACAATATAAAACACAAATCAAGAGAAATGATATATGTTTTTCAATTATTACTTTCACACTTTTAATATTTGTATCACATATCTCGCAAAGATTAAATTAGTATTATGGTGAAGGCAATTAATACCTTTTAACTTTCGTTTCCTATCATTTTTTATACATAAAGTTCAAATTTACAAAAATAACTTTGAGTGACGATCAACTAGAACCTATCCGAATCAAACTCGATACATCAATACTTATAGTATTATGAATAAAATTGTATTTCTCTTTATTTGAATGACACTGATAACATTGGTTTTCACTGATGAAAATGGAAATAAGATGATCTTTTACTTTGTATTTAATGTTTATCAGAATACAGAACGTGATCTGGACTGAAAAGAAAAAAATACGCTTGTCTGGTCATGATATTCATTTGTGTCCATTATGCTGAACATCGTTGCTGTTACAGTGTAGCAGCACATGATTATCTTATTGAATTTAAACATTCCATAGCCAAATTAATGAGTTGAACGTGAAGAGAAGGAAAGAAAAGAATATTGAGAAAAATATATGTAACTATCAAGCCCTTTTTTGTATAGTGCATGTATTTGACCACGAGACATCCCTAGATTTGATTATCTTTTCTCTACCTCGTTTCCACATCTATCTTATTTAAAATTCCTTAGTCATTTCTATCTTGTTAAACGTTGAACATACACCATTATTACTCTATCAACTATCTACAACATGACTCTTTCTAATGTACCAAAGTTGCAAGAATTATATTTCCATCCTTGGAAATTACCCTTAGAAACATTAACATTAGTTGATGATCAATTTTACTCTTTCATTGAATATTTGGTTGGTTCAACATTATCAAATTTACTTCGAGTACAAGAAATAAATTCTGTGCCAATTCTTTTGCTAACAAGAGATGTTTTCGAACATTTATTTTTAAAAATCAATGATGTTGAAACTGATTTATTACGTCAAGAATTATTATTAAAGATCGATCATAATAATTTAATCGTCAAAAGTGCTAATCGCACAAAAATTAAATGTTTACTCGATATCTTGAAGATAGCAAGTGATCGTATATTTAAAGAAGGACAACGAATTGCACCAAAACATCTTATCAATTATTCTTCATTTGCAATTTCATCAGCAACACCAGCTGTATCAACTGCTAACACGTATTCTACTCTTACAGTTGATGATCAACGAAATCATTTATTAAAATGTATTGATGATTGGTCATCTTTGAATGAAAATTTTTTGAATCTAAAAGAATTCAAACTAGAAGAGGATAATCATTTTATATTAACCGTAAAAGCAGGTACCAATGGTATCCAAGGATCGATTGAATGCCTATGTAAATCAATTATTACATTAGGAAAACTCCATAATAAATTAACACCATCTAATTTTTATCGTCATTTAAAATCACCTGGCTGTAAATATGTTAATCGTTTGTTGAAGGAACAGAAACTTGAAAAAACGAATAGAAATAATTCCTATTCAATATCATCATCATCAAGTCAACTTATTGAAAATAATTCACAATCGACCACAGCTGTTGTTTCTAATCATAAACGTACACTTGGATCGACACACGAAATCAACAGTCAAAAAAAACGAAAGAATTGAAATTATCTTTCACACGTTTTTTATTATGTCATAGTTATACTATGTGGTTCTATTTTTACATCATAGCTTTATATTGTACAACTGAATTATTTCTTGATGTAGATAAATTTTTCTTTTTTTGTGTGTGACATATTTTATTATTTATATGGTACTTTAACCTTTATTTGTAAACTGCACTCTTACTACTTTCTTTTTTAGAATACAAATATTCGTGGACAAATTTCAACATAGAAAGAAACCAAATATTTTTCTTTCGTTCGAAATGCATCATATACTGATCTGTCTTGTACATTAGAAAGCTCAAAACTTTATTAAATAAATAGTTTTGTAAAAAGTGTCCTCGCATTAACAAATACATTGGTATACATATTTATACAGAAGAAACTTCTGTTTGATTGTGAATCTCTTTTATAATATTATCCGTTATACTCAACTAAAAGTGAATTAGATTTGGTAACTGTTTGATTAGAAGTGATTAATAATGATTAACAGTGATTAATAGTGATTAACAGTGATTAATAATGATTAACAGTGATTAATAATGATTAACAGTGATTTGCGGTGATTAGGAGTGATTATGAGTAATTAGGATGATTAGCGGATTCCTAATCAGCTGTTTCCCCCTTGCATTCTACAGTCAAATATATTGTACAAAATAAGCTGACTTCTATACACAAATAAATATTTTTACACGATCATATCCAGAAGATTGATTTCTCATAGTTTAAGCATTAATGCTGGCATTATCTTGATGCACTTCATCTGGTTGCTGTTTTGATTCATTCTTTAATTGTAAGCCAATGTTGGACGTCTGAAAATAAGTTGAAATAACAATGTTTTAATCCAATAACAAAGAAAAACTCTCACCAATACTTGGGTCCATGGATATAGAATATTTATTGGAGGTTGAATATTGGATTTTTTTGCTAGATAAGGATTATCTGGATAAATTTTCGTATGTAAACAATTTCTTAAATGAAATATAATCAAGTATATATGTTATTGATTGATGTTGTTTTGTTTCAATAAAATTATGAAACATTAAAAAGAAAAAAAACAAATCGGCGGATACTGTTG